CATCACCCCCTACCATCTCAGGACCTTTCCAAGCTCAACCGCGACCCCAACAAGGTCATCTACATCAGCTCTCTGCCCCAGTCGGTGCTGCAGAAGGAGAATCTCGTCTCCCTGTCCGCCTGGAAGGACACCGGTGCAGACACTGCCTTGTTGGACCTCCTGCCCTTCCTCGAGTGTGAGTGGCTAGCTTACCCCCCTTGTCCCTCCTCGAGTGTGAGTGGCTAGCCTTCCCCCTTGTCCCTCCTCGAGTGTGAGTGGCTAGCCTCCTCTCTGGTACCTTGGGTGTGAGTCGCCGTCCTGTTCTGTTGCACCAAAACCCAGTTGATGCTTCAGAGGGATAATCTCGTCCCCCTGCCCGCCTGGAAGGACAATGGCGCTGACCCTGCACTCCTTGACCTCCTGCCCTTCGCTGAGTGTAAGTGCCCGCGAGCCTGGATTCGTGAGTCGTGAGGTGAGTCTTCTGGTGCTTCAAAAGGCGAATCTCGTGTCCCTATCTCCGTGGAGGGGCACTGGCGCTGACACTGCTCTCTTGGACCTCCTGCCCTTCCTTGAGTGTGAGTGCTGCAAGCATGGAGTCATGAGTCGTGAGGTGTGTCTTCAGCTGCTTCAGAGGAAAATCTCGTGTCACTGGCTGCATGGAGGGGCACAGGGACACCAGGACATGGAGGAAGAATCTTGTGTCCCTGCCTTGTTGACCCTTGACCCTGAGCAAGTGACCTGTTCACCCCGCCATTCAACACCAGATGTGGCGCGGCGGCGACTGGCAGATATCCGGGTGGTGCTGCAGACACTGCAGTCGTATGAGGGGCAGCACATTCTCACTGCCTCAACTCTGCTTGACCCTGATCAAGTGACCTTTTCACCCCGCGATTCAACACCAGGTGTGGCGCGGCAGCGGCCGGCAGATATTTTGGGTGGTGCTGCAGACTGCAGTCGTATGAGGGGCAGGACATCCCCACTGCTTTCAAGAGGGGCCCTCGACCTATTTGACCCATCTTGACCCACCTTGACCCTGTTGACCCTGCCTTCCAGGTGTGGCACGGCAGCGGCCGGCAGATATTCGAGTGGTGCTGCAATCATATGAGGGCCAGGATATCCCAACTGCTTTTAAGGAGCGCTCCAAGCTCATGCAAAAGTGAGTGTAGCCTATCATTAATCATCTTCATGATATTATGTAGCTCAAATCTCCGGTTGATGCTCGTTCATGCCTCATTCTTGGGCCAAATTCTATATTTCTCCCCTCTTACCGCTATTCGTGTCACCGCCACGCTCCTCGCTCCCCCTAATCCCTCATGTTTTTTAATCTGTTTTATCACTTCAAATGCTTCCAGGCAACTTCAAGAGAGGAAACAGCACGGGATTTTCCGCTTTGCAAGGGGTGGGTCGTAGTGAGAAGCATCATGCGGGAAGGGGGATTTGAGGTTGAAGGATAGTTATGAGGACACTTCAGAAGTCAAGACGATGGACCTTACAATTAAGGAACTTCCATGCCATTGTAATATGTGCAATGGCGTCTCATCTCAAGCGTTAGGACGAAAATGGGAGACCTTGAGAGATAGTATCTATGAAAATACATGGCAGTGCGTCTGGAATTCTGTCTAGCACGCGTCGGCGAGTATAGCATACGCCATGATGATGTGTCAACTTCTCATTGACCAATGCTGCTTGACTTCAGGCTCCAAGTCATCAGCTGCTTTGCAGTTTTTGGCGAATCCGCGCTCTTCCACGTGCTGAACTCTTCAAGGCAAGGCTGACGACGAGGCGGCGGGCAAATCTGTCCAACGGTTTTGTAGTCGTGTTTTTTTTTTTTTTTTTTTTTTTTTTTTTTTCCCCCTGGTAGTATCGGAAGCTTGTGACGCACTTAACTAACTACGGGATTGATTTGCTGGTCTCGCTAAAATACTTAAAAGCCTCCACTCCACTCTGCTTCGCAAGAAGGGGGTTCCTTCCCATCCACTGATTGGCGGGAGCAAAATACGCAGCTGACTCGTGTGATTCTCAGCTTCTCTGAATAAATGCGGGCGCGCTTGCCGGAATCTCTGGCCCTTCGACAGACGTGTTTTAACCGTCCGATCGGAATCTTAGCAGGCCAACGACCACTTCTGCGGGGAAGATACCACTCGCGTCTGTACAACCAAACTCGAAACCAGGCTCGGCACAGCGCTTGCTCCCTGTTGGTCCACATCCGTTTCACCTGGGCCGATTTTACCAATTACCGCTTAGGCAGAGGCACGAAACGAAATGAATTTCGCCCTTCAGATTCCCCTGACATTTCCATTTCCCTTCTGCGTGCTGAAGAAAAAGATATCAGAACAAAGGCTTTACAGTAGTGTATGCACATAAAGTTTCTGTGAATGCCCACCGCCAAAAATGGAAAGCGGACGACAATCCCAAGGGCGATCAGCGACAATTCCGAGGGGAGAAGGCAGTGGGATGGTGAAGTGGGATGATGAATGGTGCAGCTTGTGCTATAAGTGGCTGGCATGGCATTCCTCAGTCCCCGACAACAGGACTGGTGAATCATGGTGCCAGCACACCCTAGACTAGAAGGAAGCAGACGAATCCGCATGCCTTCAAGTGAACTGCCTATTGTGTCCTGCTAGCTTCCACCAAAAGCAAGCACAAGAAAGAGTGAGTGAAAGTGTCAGGAAATTCTGGACTCCAAGAGTGTCAAGCACTAGATTCCTCTGCCTGTGAATGTCATTGCACCGGACAAACCACTGATATACTGTATCACGTTTCCAACAGCAGTGCGTTTAAGTTTCGCACTGTATATCACGCTCCTAGTATAGTAGGCGCATGATGCGCTGATCAGAATTTCATTCTAGGAGTAGAAGTTTCGCTGCATTCAGGACCTGGGGCCGTGCTACTAGAACCGCCAGACACTTGCTTAATTCACAGAGCAGAAAAGTGTCCCTTCCCCTCGTCACGACTTCTATGTTTCGTGACAGTTGATCCTAGTAGTAGTTGTCAGACGACTTGTCTGACGTCGCTGGGTTACGAGCACCTGATCGTGCAGCCTGGTGCAGATCAAGTCAACCTCCTGAATCTTCACTTAGAATCCATCCAGAGCTCCATCCAGGTATTTCTTGTAGAATTTTCCAGAAAATCCTGTAAGCTCCACGTACAGAATCCATCCAAAGCTCATCCGATTGGTTCCTACTCCGAGGAGTGTAAAATTGCTTCCGTGAGAGCCGGCTTCTTACTTTGCACAATCATTGTGGATGAGAGCAGCTCTGAGCGCAGCTCCGAGCGAGTGATCGGGAGCAGCAAAGCAGCAGCAGCATCTGCTGCTTCACCTCTTCCAAGCAGGTGATCTGGAGCAGCAGAGCAGCAGCTGTTGCTTCACCTTGTCTTCAAGCAAGTGATCAGGAGCAGCAGCAGCAGCAGAGCAGCAGCTGTTGCTTCACCTTGTCTTCAAGCTAGTGATCAGGAGCAGCAGCAGCAGCAGCAGCAGCAGCAGCAGCAGCAGCAGCAGCAGCAGCAGCAGCAGCAGCAGCAGCAGCAGAGCAGCAGTTGTTGCTTCACCTTGTCTTCAAGCAAGTGATCAGGAGCAGCAGCAGCAGCATCAGCAGCAGCAGAGCAGCAGAGCAGCAGCTCCTGCTTCACCTTTTCTCCAAGCAAGTGATCAGGAGCAGCAGCTGCAGAGCAGCAACTGGCGTAACCCTTTGATCAAGTGATCTGGAGCAGCAACGCAGCAGCAGCAGCAGCAGCAGCAGCAGCAGCAGCAGCAGCAGCAGCAGCAGCAGCAGCAGCAGCAGCAGCAGCAGCAGCAGCAGCAGCAGCAGCAGCAGCAGCAGCAGCAGCAGCAGCAGCAGCAGCAGCAGCAGCAGCAGCAGCAGCAGCAGCAGCAGCAGCAGCAGCAGCAGCAGCAGCAGCAGCAGCAGCAGCAGCAGCAGCAGCAGCAGCAGCAGCAGCAGCAGCAGCCGGGATCTGAACTCCAGCATGTGATCTGAGATCCTAACTTCACGCTTACCTTCTTTGAAGTTTGCTCCAGATCCCACCTTCCCCAGTTGGACCTACTTCCAGGGTCCCAGAACAGCAACTGGCTATCAGGCGGCAGCAGGCGACCTGCATCAGATGCAGCCTTCCCCTGGAGGCCGGGATTGGGCTGTAGATCGGCATGGTGGAGGGACTGAAGTGGCTATAGCAGGCGCTGAAGGGGCGGCAAGCGGGGCGGAAGTGACTATAGCAGGATCTGCAGTGGCTGACGCAGGATCGGAAGCCTACTACCAGATAATTCCAGGTAGGTCTCACTGGCATGTGAACTTTGAACCGTGCAGGTCGCACCCCTCAGGTGGGATCTGATATTCAGGTGTTTATCTGGCGCTTCATGTGAGCCTTCAGGCGATTTCTCAGGTGGAATTTGATTCGCGGTCACATGGATGTGCATCAGCCGAGCTCAGGTGAGCTGTGTAATATTTAATCTTACCATTCATGAAGGGAGAATACTAATGATCGCTCCCTAAGACCACAGGAAGGATCTGGAAACATCTGCTGCTCCTGGTCAGCTGCTCCTGATCTGCTGCTCCTGATCTGCTGCTCCTGGTCAGCTGCTCCTGATCTGCTGCTCCTGATCTGCTGCTCCTGATCTGCTGCTCCTGATCTGCTGCTCCTGATCTGCTGCTCCTGATCTGCTCCTGATTTCCTGTTCCAACATTTTCCCGTCTTGCTTCTTTCCTTTTTGCCCTTCTCTTCTCTCCTGTGTTCCATTATACCAGCAGCTATGGCCTACCCGGCCGTGCTCTGGCAGCAGCAGGAGCAAGCGGCAGTGCAAGCACCGCTAGTCTTGAGGCGGCTCAAAACTAGACTTCTTTCCTTTGTACCGTTCTCTCTCGTGTTCCACTTCTCCAGCAGCTATGGCCTACCCGGCCGTGTTCTGTTCTGGCAACATAAAGAGCAAGTGCAAGGACCATAGGTAGCGCAAGCACCGCCACACAGCCCGTCGTAATATTTCCTTTATGCCCTTCTTTCTCGTGTTCCACTCTGCCAGGAGCTATGGCCTACCCAGCCGTGTTCTGGCAGCAGCAGGAGCAAATTCTAGGAGCACTGGCAGTGCAAACACAGCTACAGCCACCAGGAACAACAGCAGCAGCAGGAGGAGCAGGTTCGGGAGCAGGAGCAGGGTCGGGAGCAGGAACGGGATCAGGAGCGGGAGCAGCAGCAGCAGCAGGAGCCCCGGGAGTGACGGCACCACAACCCCCACCTTACCAGATCTACTCCTTCTCCCCTTCCTCCTCCTACGGAACCCTCCCCTCTCTCATCCCCTGTGCTCCTCCTTCCGGCATCATCCCACCTCCGTACTTCGCCCCAGCTTTCCCCCCTCCTTTAGTTTATCCGGGAAATCTCAGCCATAGCAGCAGCACGGGCAGCACTGGCAGCAGCTACAGCAGAGGAGGGGAGGGAGGTGGGGGAGGGAGAGGAGGAAGAGGAGGGGGAGGAGGAGGGGGAGGAGGCGGCGAGAGAGCAGGAGAACAAGGGGGTAGCAGGAGTTTTGGTGACAGAACAGGGATTGGCATGGGAGTAGGAAGTAGTGGTGGCGGCGGTGGTGGTCGTGGTGGTGGTGGTGGTGGCGATGGTGCCTGTGGGTTTAGTGGGATTCGGCAATTTTGGGATGGTTCAGGGAAGTTTCCCCCAGTGTACCCGCAACGGCCGGGGGAACAGGAATGCGCGTATTACATGCGCACGGGCAGCTGTGCGTATGGGTCTCGGTGTCGGTTCAACCACCCTCCTAGGCTGGAGGTGAGTAGGCCTGGATGGTAGCCCTGTTACAGGCTGAAGGTACGATTCTCAGGCACCTTGAAGCCAAATATGCAACAGCCCCAGGGGAACAGGAATGCGCCTACTACATGCGAACGGGCAGCTGTGCGTACGGGTCGCGGCGTCGGTTCAATCACCCTCCTAGGCTGGAGGTGAGAGAACTGATACTTTTAGGGAGGTTTCCGACAGTGTCCTCACAAAGGCAGGGAATTTCCGAGTGTGGTATCACGTGCGCGTGGCTAGATGTGAGTATGGATCTTGGTGTCGATGCAACCACCCTCCTAGGATAGAGGTCAGAGAGTTTAGGTGTGGATGAGCCAAGTTTCTCCCAGTATACCAGCGGCAGTAACTTGGGGAGCTGTGTCGTGGAATAATTCACAAGATACCATGCTTCTAATTCAATATGCATCCTCCCTTTTCGCGCGTCAATGCAACATGCTTCCTTCTGCTCCATCTCCCGCACTCCACGCCATCCCATGCCATCCCATCGACGAATTTTGAGTTGACTCAAGAGGCATCTCGTTACAATGTCACAATGTCAATGCCTTTCGTCTCCTGCACTCCCCGCGCCATCTTATCCCATGCCAGGTGATGCAAGCGCTGCTCCCAGCCGCGCCCTATCCGCAGCGACCAGGGCAATCTGAGTGCAAAGTGAGACTCCTATGGCATGCAGCACAATCCTTTCCCATCCCATCACATGCTGTCCCATGCCGTCTTATGCCATCACATGCCACCACATGCCATCACATGCCATCACATGCCATGCCATGACATCACATGCCATGCCATGACATATCATCACATGTCATCACACATGCCTTCCGGTCAATGCAATCCCTGCTCCCATTCTCACACTGTCGCTCCTCTCTTATCCTCTTCCTCTCCTTCCCCACCCCTCCTCCTTCTACCCAGTACTACCTCAAGACTGGTACATGCAAGTACGGAGCCCCCTGCACATTCCACCACCCCCTGGTCCCACATTCTTTCCCTCCTCTCTTATCTCGTTCCCCACCCCTTCTCCTTCTCCCCAGTACTATCTAAAGACAGGGACCTGCAAGTACGGAGCCTCCTGCACATTCCACCACCCCCTGGTCCTACCGGCTCCCTACTCCCCCCACCTGCCGCTCAACACCCTCGGCTATCCGCTACGCCCGGTAAGTTCCGTCTCTTGCCTGTTCTTCACGCCTGGTACTCCACTTCGAGTCTCCTGCACTTCCTTCCCACCACCCCCTGGTCCCACCCAAGGTTCAAAATTACGGTTTTTGAAAAATACGATCCGTAAATTACGACCGTTTTTTTCGGGCAGTTTGGGAAAAAAACGGCGTAATTTAAATAGAGCACATGGTGTTTTTTTTTTCCGAGGGGGAATGGCTCCTATGCGGTTTCAACGTCAACTGAATGCTCAGTAATGCACCATGGCACCTACAAGCATGGAAATCTGGAGTTGCTAGGCGGTAGAGTAAACTGGCTTAGATTCCAGCCAGAAAAACGCTCCAAACTACGTCCTGTGGTAGCTTAGAAAACGTCCTCTGTATTTGTATCTCACACACTTCGAAGTTGGGTTGAGAAAGGCTTCGAAGAGAACCAAAATCCATTGGGATCTGTTTTTTGAAACACGCTTCGACAGGGTGGTTTCGCAAATTGCGCGAGACCACCCTACTGGGCGCGAAATAACCAACGGGTTTCGCGAAGGGGGGGGTTCTTTCATAACGGCACAAGATTTTTTTGGTAAAATGCGTGACTCGGGGTTCGGTTAAATTCGAGCTTCGGGAAAATGTTGACTTATGAACATTTGGGGGTGCGCGTGTACCCCCATCTCCAAAATTCTGGTACGGAATTCGAGATTCTGAATGTACACCACAGATTTAAAAAAATGGCCGTAAAAAACGGCCGTTTTTTTTAACCAACCCAAAAAAGGTGATTTCGAGCCGTAATATTCGTATTATACGGCCGTAAATTACAAAACCGTAAAATACGGGCAAAAAATATAAAAAAACACCATAATTTTGAACCCTGGTCCCACCGGCTATCCCCTATGCCCGGTAAGCTCCGTTTCTTGCTTCCTGCACGTTAGCATGATTGCCTCCTGCACCTTCCACCGCAATTTTGGAGCAACGTGCAAGTTTCACTATCCAGAATCCCCAACTCTTTCCACCCACCGATACCCCCCTGCACCCTCCCCCACCCTCTCTCTTTCCCCTCTACCCAATCGCAGGGAGAAACCGAGTGCTCGTTCTTCCTTCGCACGGGGCGGTGCAAGTTTGGAGCAACGTGCAAGTTCCACCATCCAGAGCCGTCCCAGCAGCTACAACCGTCCCAGCAGCTACAGCCGTCCCAGCAGCCGCAGCTGCCTGGAAAGGAAGACACCAGCAGCGGTAGCAGCGTCAGGTGTGCCGGAACTGATGCTCTTATCGAGTCTGTTACTACTGGAGAGGGGCTGGAGGGTGCGACGCCAGAGAAGGGGAGGCTGGAATCGATCCCAGTGGCTGCTGCTGAGGGGATGGCGCCTCAGAAAGATGGTCAGAGTGGGGGGATGGGAGGATTTGGGGTAGAGAGTCTAAGACTGCATGGGGGAGGAGGAGGGAGTGGGAAAGAGGCGAGGGATGAGAAGGGAGAGGGAGAAGGGAAGGGAGAAAGAGATGGAGGCAGGTGTAAAGGGTCAGGTGATTTGTCAGGTGAAATTTCAGGTGAAAAGTCAGGTGAAGGCGTAGGAGTCAAAGAATCCGCTATTCCAGGCATGGTTGGGGGAAGGATGGAAGATTCAGAAAGCATAGTAGCGGGGCCAACAGCAGCAGAAGGGAGCGAAATCAAAGAGGGAGGAGGAGCACCAGGAGGATCTGGGACGAAGGAGGAAGGTGGAGTGTCTAGGGGGCAGGGGGGCAGCTCCCACGGGCCTGTTGTTGAGTCGTCTCAAATGCAAGGGGGCAAAGGGCAGGTGCAGAAGAAGAAGCGGCAGCAGAGGCAGCAACAGCAGCAGCAGTATCAGCAGCATCAGCAGCAGCATCAGCAGTATCAGCATTACCAGCAGCAGCAGCAGTACCTGCACTATCAACAGTACCAGCAGCAACAATACCAGCAGCACCAGTACCAGTACCATCCCGTGAGCAGCAACAGCAGTAGCAGCAGCAGCACCACCACCACCACCTGGCCCTTGCACCAGCCCAATCAAGGGGCGGGAGTTGTGCATACCCCGAGCATTGGCACAGGCATGGGCATGGGCATGGGCATGGGTATGGGTATGGGTACCGGCATGGGCGTAATGGGAGGAAGCATGAATCCGGGCTCTAGTGGTCACATGGGTATGGGCATGGGCATGGGTGTAGACACTGCAGGTGCACCGGGGATGCTTTACCCATACGCGCCATCTGGTCCCTACATGACGTCATCCGTCCCATACATGACGTCGTCAGGTCCCTACATGGCGTCATCTGGCCCATACATGACGTCATCAGCCCCCTATGCATCGTCAGCTGTTCCCTACCCTCCATATTCCCACTACCCTTACCCTCACTACCCTACCTCTCAACCCTCTGCTAGTCATTCATTCGCATCTGTTGCTCCTGCTGTTCCTCCTCCTCCCTCCTCTTCTCCTGCTCCCGCCCCCACCGCTGCCCCCACCGCTGCCCCCACCGCTGCCCCTTCGTTCCCTCCTGCTTCTTGGCCTGCTGCTCCTTCTGCTCCTGCTTCCATGGCCCCTGAAGTCACCGCCACCACTAATCCTCCCTTCCCTCTGATGCCCGCCCCATCCTTCCTCCCACCGGCACCGGCACCAGCACCAGCACCAGCACCAGCACCATTGGCACCTGCCACCGCTGGTGCTCTTCAGCCCATATACCCCCCCTTCCCCCCTCCCTCTTACCATCCTTCCCATCCCTTCGCACACTCCTCGTCTCTCTCTGCTACCCCCCCTCCTCACCCTCCTACCCTCCCTTTTGCACCTGAAGCCACAGTTCAGCCTGTCAGTCAGGTGTCATCTGGTGTAGGTGTATCTGGTGCGGGGTCGGCTGGCGTAGGTCTTTCTGCTGAAGGTGCATCTGGTGAACCTGTATCTGGTATGGGGGAAACTGGTACAGGTGCATCTGCTGTAGGTGTATCTGGTGTAGGTGCATCTGCTGGTGTAGGTGCATCTGGTGTAGGTGTATCTGGTACAGGTGCTTCCCCCCTGCTTGGACCACCCCACTCCCTTCCTGGACAGGGCGGTGCTATAGTGCAGATGCAACAGCAGCAGCCTCAGCAGTTTGATACCCATCATCAGCAGCACCAGCAGATGCTATTGCAGCCTCAGCAGCAGCAGCAGCAGCAGCAGCAGCAGGCACGGCAGGACACGCCGAACCTACCAGAGAGGTTCGGGCAGCCGGTCTGCCAGTACTACATGCGAACCAGGACGTGCAAGTTCGGAGCATCGTGCCGGTACCATCATCCGAAGAATGGCCAGGCCTAAGTGAGGATCCTAACTGGGAGATAGACGCGAGAATCGCAGTTAAATTGCAGCAGCAGCAGCAGCAACGGCAGCAGCAGCAGCGGCAGGAGCAGCAGCAGCAGCAGGAGCAGGAGCAACTTACTGACTTGAGAGAGTTTGTGTGCGTTGCGTCACTGCCGCAGAGGCTCAGGCAGGTGGTACTACTACACGCGAACCAGGACGTGCAAGTTGACTTTTGAGTCGACTCAAAAGTCTGCCGCAGAGGCTTAGGCAGGTGGTACTACTACATGCGAAGCAGAACATGCAAGTTCGGAGCATCGTGCCAGTACCACCATCCGAAGAATGGCCAGGCCTACACGAGGACTCAAGCTGGGAGTTAGACGCGAGAGTTGCACGCAGACAACGGTGGTGGAAATTAGAGGGATTGCCGATGTCACCATCCGAAGAAGAGTCAGGCCTAAACGAAGACTCCAGCTGGGAGTTCGACTCCAGGGTTGAAGGTAACGGTGGTGGGAGATAGAGGGCTTGCCATGCGTTAGAGGGATATCATAGGGGCCTTGCTTTCATTATGGGTAGAAGGTGTTCTTGCGGTAGGGTCGGGTTGACGTTTTTTCAATTACTGTAGCCTTTTTCCCTTAGTGAGTAGCTGGAACGGTTGGTAACAGATAATATGCGCAAACTCAAGGGCAAACCTTCTCAGAGTAGCAGAATGATTAGAACAAGGGAGTATAGGAGAGGATATAGGGTTGGAGGTGTACCCTCTATGAACACAATATCAGAATTGGAATGTTGTTTGGAAAAGTGAGAGTACACACAAATATACCTAAGTGTTGTACCCTCTAAGAGGTAACCCTATACAGTCTATACAAACATGACAAATACAGATGTTTGACACACCCCCTAGACTGCATAGGGGAATACTCTAAACAAGCAGCTCAGGGTCTGTTCATGGAGGGTACACCTCCAACCCTATATCCTCTCCTACAATCACAACACAGGAGGATCATGGCCCTGTTGTCAGCGAACAGGACCGGGGCAGAGCTAGGCCGCTCACCTAAGTCAGTGAGCAAGAAGGTCAGCCAGCGGAGCTCCTGTGCCGCCATGGCACCAGCGTAGATCTCAGCCTCACAGCTGGACTGTGCAACAGACGAGGAGCGGGTAGCTCTCCACGAGACAGCACCTGAGCCAAGGCTGAAGCAGTAGCCCTGGGTAGACCTGAGTGTCTCAGCGTCGTCTGCCCACGAAGCGTCTGTGTGTCCAGTAAGGACCACTGGCCTGCGTCCTCCAAGCACTAACCCCATGCCCGATGTACTAGCAAGATAACGCAGAACCATCTTAGCGGCAGACCAGTGCTGCGGTCGGTGTCTGCCTGTGGCCACAAAGCGCGCCAGGATGCTGAGAGGGTATGCGAGATCTGGGCGAGTGCAAGTCATCAGGTACATGAGGCAACCCACCAGCTCTGCGTAGGGGCCACTGGGCTCTACCACCTCCTCAGGTACTGGAGAGGAGAGTCTGTGGTCTACAGGCAGAGGGGTGGGCTGTGCAGAGGAGAACTGAAGGCTGAACCTCTGAAGGACCTGGCGCACCAAGTGTGACTGAGTCAGGGTGATGGTGCGCGCAGCTCTGTCCCTGGAGATCTGCCAGCCAAGGTAACGGCGCAGTTCTCCAAGGTCAGTGCAGGTGTGTCTCTTCAGCAGCTCTGCCTTCACGGAGGCCAGTGCGTCCCTGTCTGCCGTGGCAAAGACCAGGTCGTCGACGTAAACAAGGATGTAGAACGGAGTCTGGCCAGCACGAACGAAGAGTGAAGGGTCTGCGGAAGACGGAAAGAACTGCAAGTCAGCAAGGGTAGCACGAAGAGTGTCGTGCCACTCACGGGGAGCCTGGCGCAGGCCGTAGACGGGGCGCCGCAGGAGCCACTGGGTCCCAGGAGGGAAGGTGCCAGTAAAGCCCGGAGGGCGACGCAGGTAGACCTGCTCGTGTAGGCTGCCCTGAAGGAAGGCAGTGGAGAAGTCGAGGGAGTGAAGCTCGTAGTCACGCTGAGCAGCTAGGTGTAACAGAACCCGAAGAGTAGTCATCTTCGGGGTCGGAGCGAAAGTCTGGAAGAAGTCCACCCCCTCGCGCTGACTGAAGCCTCTAGCCACATAGCGCGCCTTGAAGACAGGCGGCTCTCCAGGAGGGCGCTTCACCTTGAAGAGCTAGCGGCCATCGACTACGTTCACCCCAGGTGGGGGAACTGCGTCGACGAAGGTGCCGGTGGATCTCCAAGATGCCATCTCCTGCTCCATGGCAGCTATCCACTGTGAGGCCCAGGGTCCCAAAGTCGCCTCAGCGTAAGTGCGAGGGGTCGGGATGTCGAAAGCGTCTGGGTCACCCTCAGGGACTAGCAGCATGGAACAGAGATGGGGAGCAGCCTCGGAGAGGAAAGCAAGCTCGAACTGGCGGTCCTCCAGGACGTCACTGCCAAGGGCAGGAGCACCCTCGACAGACGGAGGACAGGCAGGGTCAGAGACCAGAGCGGAGGCGTAGTCAAGGCGGCGGGTAGAGGCGAAGTCTGCGACAGCAGCGACAAGAGCGTCAAGGCACGAGACCGGAACAGACGGGTCGGTAACGAGAGAGGCAAGGACCCGAGGAACGAGAGGACGAGCGGCACGAAGGTAGTCGGACAGCGGGGGGGGCGCAACAACAAGGGAGGACGGAGGAGGCGACGGGAGAAGGGGAGGACGAGACGCGTGGGAACGAAGCAACACAGGGTGGGAGCGCAAGACAGGCGAGGCAGGACGGGCACGGGAGGGGCGGTGAGACCAGACGTGCGACGGAGGAGTCGGGTCAGGAGACAGGGGAGGGGACACAGGAGGGGAACGAGGGGGGAGACGAGCCGGGGACGAGTCCGGCGGAGGGAAAACAGGGCCGTAGACAGGAAGAGGAGGAGACGGTCGGGGAGGAACCGACGCAGGGTCGGGGGACGGAAGGCCGAGCAGGCGAAGGGCGGACACCGGCGGGGACCGCTGGGGCGGCGGCACAACGGCGACACCTGGACCGCAAGCTGCTCCTCGGCGACCACCGGCACTCTCCACACCAGCACCCCCAGAGGGACCACCCCCAGGGCGACCAGGACGAGCACCCCCAGAGTCAGCGAACGGGGGCTGCGACGGCTGCAGCAGCGGTAGTGGCGGTGGAGGAGGGGACTGGGGAGGGGACACCTGGGGAGGGGCGGCCGGCGAGGACTGCACAGGAGGGCCACCAGAGTCAGAAGACTCCTCAACTGGGTCCACGGACGGAAGGGGGGTGACGTGGGAGACACCAGAGGGGGCGGGACGGGGAGGAGGAGGAGGAGGGGCAGGGACTACCGGGGAAGGGGTGACCAGGAACAAGGGGGGGGTAACCGGGGGACCACGGTGGGGAAAGCGGCGGTAGTAGGAGACAGACTCGTCAAAGGTGACGTCACGAGAGTGAAAGAAGCGGTGAGACGGCGGGTGGTAAAAGTGCCAGTCGGACGCGTCAAGGGGAAAACCGAGGAAGACGCAGGGAAGGGTGCGGGCAGTGAGCTTGTCCGTGCCGAAGGCACGGACGTGAGCAAGGCAGCCCCAGACGTGGAACGCAGACGCGTCACCAGGGGACCCAGTCCAAAGACGGGTCGGCGAAACCTGCGGCTGCTGAGGGTGCGGCCACAGGTTAAGCTGGTGAGAAGCGTAGCGCACAGCGAACGGCCACAGAAAATGGGGTGCACCGGCATGGATCATGGAGGTGCGAGCGACCTCCATGACCAAACCGATGCGTCGCTCAGCGACCCCATTCTGCTGTGGGGAGTCCGGTAGGGTGAACGTCTGGGTGATGCCCTCCGCACGACAAAAGCGACCAAGGACACCGGAGGCAAACTCGCCACCACGGTCTGAGTGAAGACGCAAGACAGGGAGACCGCGGTGGACACGCGCAGAGACAAGCCAGGGGATGAGAGCGCCAGGCACGTCGGCCTTGCGCTCCAGGGGAAAGACTGTGGTGTAACGAGTGAAGTCGTCGACAAGCACAAGGAAGTAGCGCTCTCGACGTGGCCCAGGGACGGGGGCGGGGCCCCAGACGTCCAGGTGCAGGGTCTGCAGCGGTGCGGCGGTAGGGGGAAACGAGGAGGAGTGAGGGGCACGGCGAAGCCGACCCTCGACACAAGGCGTGCAAGGTGGGGCTGGAGAGGAGGGAAACGCGGGGAGCGAACCTGGGAGACCAAGGACGAGACCGTGCTGAGACATGTGACGCAGACGCGGGAGCGCAGGGTGACCTAGGCGGTGGTGCCACAGGAGGGTCGGGTGAGTGAGGGAGCGACAGGAGCAGGCAGCAGCAACCTGGGTAGACGCAGCCACCTGAGGGGGCGCTCCAGCCGGGGGGGTCACGGTGTCCAGAGTGAACAGGCCGGACACTGGGTCCCGGGGGAACGTGGACAGGGGGGCACCAGTGGCGGCCTCGGTACAGACAGCATACCGCTCGTGACCAGGGAACGTAGTGGTGACGCCAAGGTCCTGGAGGCAGCCGACACCAACTAGGTTCCTGGAGAACAAGGGGATATGCAGACCTGTAAGAGAACCCGAAGGAACCGCCGGACAGGGAAGGGTGGTGGAACTGCGGGCGACTACCGGACCGCCGGAGGGGTCAGCAAGAGAAACGGCAGCAGGAACAGGAAGCGGCGTCAGGGTGGTGGAGTCGCGGAAGAAACACCGAGAGGCGCCAGAGTCCAAGGTGAAGGAAAGCGAAGCCGAGGGGTCTGGCGACGGAACGACGGCGGAAGCACCAAGACTACACAAAGCAGGGGATCCTACGCCTGACGCAGCAGGGGAGGCTAAGCTAGGCACACATACACTAGGCAACAGTGAGTAATAAGCGGGAAGCACACTAGAGTCATCCGTATACATCACATGCAGAGCAGAAACAATGGCATCCATGTCCATATCAAAGATCTGAATCTGACGACTAAGCAAACTGTGCCAGTCCGGGAGGTCTGGCGACGGGCCGAAGCGCTGACGAAAGAGGTCGTCCAGGCGACGAAAACAGCGGGGAGTGGAGTGACCGAGCTTACCGCAAACGAAGCCGCGGCGAGGACCGGTCGGGATCTGGTACTGACAGCGCCCGCCGCCAGAGCCACCACGCGGCACACCACCACGCGCCCGGCTACCGCCAGCGCCGGGCCACCCTGGCGGGAGGACACTCGTCTGCCGCGTCTGCGACGGCTGCTGCGAAGGCTGCGACTGCGGCGGCTGCTGCGGCTGCTGCACCTGCAGGGGCGGCGACTCAGCTGGACTGGGCAGGGTCCCCTCGTCCGCTCCAGCACCAGGCGACCCGACCCCACCACTACCTCCGCCCGCACCCCCGCCGCCTCCTCCGCCGCGCCCAGCCTTGGGGCGGCGGCCCTTCCCCGAACGGACCTGCGCTGCAGCAGCAGTCTCAGCCTTTGCGGCAGAGCCGTCGGAGAAGGTGCACTGAGCGGGGGCACAACCCTGAAAGATAGGGACCGGCACGACACCGCTCGCCTGGGCAATGGAGCGGTGACGGGTCTCTATCACAGTCAGGGTGTCTACAGAGTCAGTGAGGGTGAGGTCTGCGGGGTGAACGCTAAGAAAGCGGTCGCGGGCGACAGCAAGGCGGTCAGGGAGGCGGGTGGCAAGCAGGTAGAGGGTAGAGGTAATGGGCGGCTGGTGGGCTCTAAGCTGGGCGTCAGTGCAGGCAGCGCGCCAGGTCTCATCTATCGAGCGCAGGTGGGCAGCGAGGTCAGAGACAGTGGGGAAAGATGCAAGGTCAGGAAA